TTCAGATTGGTATAGATTGAATGGTACTTGGGCATAGAAATATACAACATATTTATATGATAATTCAAGTACATTACCTGGTCCAATAGATAATACTGACTTATTATAAAATAGGAATCAAGTAAGGAATGTAGATTTCTTTGTTGTAAATGAAACAGTTTGGAATTTCTTTCTAGAAGAGTAAAGTGATGGTCCTGAAATACTGGATGAAAAAATTGCTCCATCTCCTTCATCAAATGCAAGCTCTAAAACAGATAGGGCAAAATCAGTTGAAATTAGTATTATTTCTACTGTATCATAATATGATGTTAATCCTGAAATCCCCATCAAAGGTTTGAAGAATGAATTATACTATTGTTATATGCATTCAACTCTATAATGCATAATGTGTATTTAAGAACTTAATAATTTCATATTAAATTCAATCAATAGATAACACTTTTTAAAAGATGAATTAATCTAAGATTATAAATGTGATAGTTGTCATAAAAAAAACTGCAATAAAAAAAACAAGAATAACTAAATTACCTTAATATCTTATTCTTCATTTAAAAAGATTCAAATTTTTTCCAAAATAAAACAAAATAATTTAACATGTAAAATTTTCTGTAGAATCAACTTTTTGTGGAAGTAAATACAATTTAGTTGGAGTTATTGTTCATTCTGGATCTTTAGAGTAAGGTCATTATTATTCATATTGTAAGAGATAGAATAAATGGTGGTTATTTAATGATCAAAAAATCAAATAAGTTAATAACATTGATGTAGTGTAATAATAAGGATATATTTTGTTTTATTAATAACTTCTATGATTATATATTTTAAGTAGTTAATAACATAATCCGTTTTGATTTTAATTATAATAATGAAAGTAATTGCAGTGACATTAGTGTTATTGTTAGCTGGAAATGCCTTTGCTGGTGATCTCATTCATAAGTGAGTTCTATTAATATCAATCATAGATATCCAATTATAGGGAAGAGTAAGCCATCTTTGGTTAGCATCTTGTGAATTAGAAAACAAATTATCTTCACATCATGAGTTAAATTTCAAGTATCTTTGCTTAAATGCTTACATTAAATGGAGGGTATATATTTTTATTTATTAAAAATAGTTATATTGAATTATTTGAAAGACTTAGTATACAAACTTATAAAAGATATCTGTAGAAGAAGATTAATCCATTTAAAAATATGATGATAGAAGAGTTCATTTGGTTGAATATTATAACAATTTAAAGAGAACTGAAAATAAATTAAGAGATCATATTACTACTATGGATATTTGTTAAGATTAATAATCAGCTATTATTGATAGTGCTACAGGAAAGAAAGTAAATCTTATATTCATTACTTTAGGTTAGAAATGGTGAAATCTTTGATAGTGCTACTAGAATGTGTAATGATTTTGCTTCTGAATATGAAAAAGCCACCTCAGTTAGAAAATAAGAGTTAGACTTAGTTGACAGAGTTAGATCTAAAATTATTGAAATGGATCTTGATATCACGTTTATAACAATAATTCATAGCTCTATCTTCATTTTCTTTCCATTTACTACCCATTTATATTATATATATCTATATATTTATAATTTAATTTTTTAATCAAAAATTCACTTCATAATTCTTTGTGTTTTATTTGTTTTTTTTTGACTTCAATTCTAATAATTAATCATCTAGTCTTTTAGCTTCATTTTGATGTGTCTAGTCCATTTTAGAAATCACATGAAAAAATTCAAAAAAACAAATATAACTTTTTACCTTCTAATTATGATCATTATTATATCACTCCTAGATTTTATCTAAGTAGATAAACAATTAATTTATTCAGAAGTCAAAAGAAATAACTAGGAATTTTTAAATATTTAAGATATCTCTGGAGTGTATTCTGATAAAATTATGAATGAAGAGTTATTTAATTGTTTATTATCAACTATCAATTCTTATGGACATGCTATTGATTATAGATTCATTTTTGATCAAATTTGAGATAATTAAATTTCTGCTTAAACAAATCTTATTATTATTTTTGAAATTTATGAAACAATTTTATTTGATTTTTTTTAACATAAATGAATTATGATTAGGCTTTGATTGCCTTTTTAATGAATTATAAATATATATATATTTTTTTTTTTAACTAAATTTATCATAAATAATTAATTTAAAAAATAAATAGTCTTAACATTGGTTAATAAATCTAGATTGAAAGTTAAATAGTGAAAATGAATAAAAAAAGCCTTTTTATAAATTGCAAAAGAAAATACGAAAGTGTAAACAAAGGAAAAGTTTAAAAAGAAATCATTTACTT